TTTCATGAAAAACTCTTACATGCATGTTCATATTTTGGTAGAGGTCCATCAATTCACCATGATTTTGAGCTCAACATTGCATTTGATCTTGCTTTGAACACTAGAGCTCTTGAAAACTCATGTATTATGATTTTGCATTATTCTTCGTATTTACACTTAATTTTATGTTCAATTAGCTTACTTTTGGGCTTGATTTCATAAATTGATCTTTGAAACATGTTGTACTATGAGTCTTCAAGTGTTTTCCAAAAACTTAGCCCAAAAGAATCGAGTTTGAAGCTTTAGAAGTTGAATTTTGTGCTTGGGAATCAATCTGGAAATTCCAGATTTTGGATCCACGCTCGAGCGTACACTTTGAGTACATGCACTTCCGCTCGAGCGTAGGAAGTTACGCTCGAGCATGAAATGCATATGCCCAGAAGTTCATAGTTTTGCAGTCTGCTCGAGCGAGAGAATTCACGCTCGAGCGAGGGTCTAAGTCTCACGCTCGAGCGGAGGCTGAGCGTGAAAATCGTGCATCCAGTACTTTTTCATGAGTTTACAGTCCGCTCGAGCAGGAAGTCATGCTCAAGCGGAGCTCCTTTGTCTGCATGTCCGTTCGAGCGTAGAAAGCCACGTCGAGTGAGACCCCTGTTTCAGCAAAATTTTGAAAAGTATTTTAAGGTATATTTTTGCATCCTCATTCCATCCTAGGCATTCCTAGGCCATGTTTAAGGCATCTTTTAATGAGGATAATGTATAGAACCACACCAGTATAGTTAGGAGCTAAGTTATTAATCCCGAGTGTGTGTTCGTTCTGCAACTGTAGGGTTGGATCCGAGAATGCTCATTAGCTGCCTGTAACCCAGTACTCTGTGAGTAACAATGTGTTAAAGATACGTTCAATTATAATTATTTCTAAATGATGATTATACTGCTTTCTGAAATAGCATCGTTTACTGAATGAATGTTTGTCCTATTTGTAAACTTTATTCGTGACATCCATAGCAACTTACTGTTACTGTTACAGAGATCTCTGTCGTTCTAATGTTGGGACCACTACTGTTTACTGTTTGATGGCCATCAACTGGTTGTTCGGTCTGTCAAGACCTACTGTACTGTTTTGCTATTGGATTTACCACATATAACTATTATGGTTTTGAATAACTATTATGGCATGAAATATGAGCCACTGATTGAGTAACTGTTTTACTGATACAATTGACGGTTTTAATTACTGAAAGGACATTCATTCTTAACCCCTTTACGCATATGTTATTCATTGGGATTTAGCTCACTGTTTATATTTATATGTAGGTGTCAGGCACCGGACCGATGCTAGGAGCGTCAAGTTAAGCTCCCGTTTTGTCAAGCCAACCTTTGTGCATCACTTTGAGGTTCCATGTCTGTTCAAGCTAGGACTGCTCTGGGGTGTCTCAGTTCCACTTCTCTGTCTCTGTTTTGTAATAAGTGTTTAAGACTTGACTGTATAGTTTTGTGGAAGGGACTTGGTCCCAAACCCGGATGTGTTGTTTATGACGTATATATATATGTTGGTTTATCAATGTGGCTCGTGCATAAAGTCTTTTTGCATTCAGGTTTTCACAATTCATTGGACATCTTTTATTTACTTTTTTGGCTTTCGCAAGCCCCTCTACTTTGTATTATTGTCATTACTGTTAAGCAGGTCTTTGGTAATCACGGATTACTAGCCGGTTACGATGCTAAATCCATAGGGGCAGGTTTGGGTCGTGACACACAGGCTGAGCCAGAAATCAAAATGATGGCCCAGGCCCAAGCGTAGGGACTCGAATCGGGCTCAGATCCAGACCCAAATGAGACAGGGCCACCTTGGGACGCGAGCGGGTTTCGGGTGTCTCACGGGCTGTGGGCCATTTTTACACTCCCATAAATAACGAAGTTTACAATAAATAAACTACAAAAATAATCCAAACTCAAGTAACAAATAAAAAGGTGAACAAATGGTAACAAAATATCACTTAAATATCATTATTTTCTCATTTTTTAATTACGAAATTGCTAATCAAACTTGTATAATACTTTTCAATGGATAAAATTGTTACTCCATTCAATTTTTCTTGTTACACAGTTGACCGAAAGAAAAATTAATATAACTTTAAATTAAAAAAGAAAATTCTGCATAAACAATTCTAACTAATCTAATTAATCATATTCTATCTAAAATTCCTGTGTTTGAGAAACTACCATCCTTAATTCTAAATAATCACGATATCAATTGAATTTTTAATTTTTTTGGTAAAAACAATTGTCAATTAGTATTAAATAATTCAACACATCAACTATTTATTAGTTTAAAATTTCACCAAATTTTATTTGGGTCTTCTAAATTCAATTTTTTTTTTTTTATTTTTTTATTTTTTAAGGGCAAATTATACTGGCACTCTCTGAGGTTTATGTTTATTATATCTCTCCCATCACCTTTTGGAAATTATATCTCCCTCCTTGAGGTTTAAAGTTTCATTACAGATTCGTCCATCAGCAAATTAATTTTTTTAATACCAATTTTGCCCTCACTAGGTAAGTTATATTAACACCCCTCACATTTTAGAAATTACAATCCCCTCCTTAAGGTTTAAAGTAGTATTACCAATTGCTCCTTGGTTAGTATTAGTTGGAAAAAAAATTCATTGAAAAAAAATTAATTGGAAAAAAAAAATTTTGAAAAAAAAAATTAATGGAAAAAAAATTTGTGAGTAAAATTTTTAATTTTGTTTAAAAACTAATGCAAACTCATTTTTTGAATTTATATTATTTCCTCAAATTTACAAACTGAAATAACCATTTATAAATCAAAAAAATTATCAAATAAGTTTTTATGATAGTTTTTAAATTATCAAAAAAATGGTCCGAACATGTTTCTTGGAGTGAGGTCGTCTCTTGGCGTAGTTTCGTCAGCGACTATCGGGAGTTTTTCCGTTACGCCTGCCATGGATGTGCTTGAGTATTTCTCATAGACGGCGCCAATTGTGGAAAAGTGGTTTGGAAATACTCTGGGATCCTGAAGGACGTTCCTGATCCTCTGATTGCCACATGAAAAAGGAATTAATACTCCGATCGGGGGTGTCAGAAATAGCACTCCGACGGACAAGTTAGTATATGCTCTTTCGTTTGCTTGTGTCTTAAGTTTACTTAATCTGATCTCACATACATCTCTTTGGTTGATATTTCTCTTATTTATCCTCGTCCCTGGTCTTGGGGGTCGGTCCACTTTTAATCTAGAGCAAAATTGCTCACTCGGCCTCTCTATGGTGTGCCTATTCCCACTCGGCTTGTTGTATGGCTGATTATATGGCCGATTTATTATTCGGCTTCAGGACCCTCCAAGACGAGCTGAATAGTATATATTCTGATTTCCTTCAAGTATATCTGGTTTTCCTACAATATAGTTTATTCGGCTCCCACAGTAAATAAACCAAAAAATTAAATAAGCTATTGGGAACATAACCAATTAATTCCTACTTTTTCTAAATCAATTTTCTGTTAGGACAATTTACTTTAAATAAATTTGTTCAAAATACTAAATTAATAATATATTTTCTTTCAGTTTTACCCTTTTCCATCTATGTTAATTACACTTCTATTCATGATTTAATGATCAATTTTAGTAAAAAATGGTAAATAGGATCTCGAAAATTAGAGACAAGATTTGGACATCAAATCTATATGTAAAACATGAAAAAATTAATGGTGACTTCTTTTTTATTTTTTTTTAATGACAAATAAGAAAATTTATTGATGAAAAATAGAGTACAAGAAGTAACAAAAAAAAAAAAAAAAAGATCAATAAAAGAAGGTATTTCAACTAGGTTAGTACATGAAAGCAAAACCAAACATATGCAGAACCAACAGCCACACAAAATTCAATCAATCTTTCTTTTTTTTAGAAAAAATGGACTAATTAATAATTTTCCCTAAAATTTCTCGTCAGATTATAAATATCTTTTTTTTAGATGGTATAAAAATATCTGTTTTGATATTTGTTATTTTTGTTAATAACAAATCAGTCACGCGGGTCACCACAAATGATCTCCGTTCACATCTATTCTAACAGTCAAGCACTCTCTCCCTTTCTTCTCTCTACTTCTCTTCCTCTGCATTCCTCCATCAAATTCGAACCATTCATCAAATCATGGGATGCCACGTGGTGGCAATGCCTTATCCAGGTAGGGGCCACATCAACCCAATGATGTGTCCGACAATCTTCACTGTATTTTAAAAAAATTAAATTCTGTTATGTACAAAACACCAACAAGAATATAAAGAAATAAAGAAAATGAGAGAATTTGTTTGATTACAAAAATCAAACTCGAAATAAAAATAAATAAATAAAAATCACAGATTTTATTTTGTTACAAAAACAAAAAATAAAATCTGATTAAATAAACAAATAAAAAACAGAATAAAATTAAACAACTTACTTGGTTAATTTATTTGAATAACTATCTGATCAAGTCCAGTGTTTAACACTGTGTCCTTAAGACAGATTCGTCCTCTCCACGGTCTTTCAGAATTTGGACGTCTATCTCCCAAGATGAAATGATCTTACCACAAAACATAGCAGCACTACAAATTGTTTGCCTTACAAACACACTAAGTGTTTACACTCTTTTCTTTCAG